TCATCACCTTAAATACACACAAGTACTTCAAAAAGTTCAGGAAAATATGTATTATGAAAAAACTCTGCACAGGGTTCAAAATTTTTTGCATCAAAATAAATGTATTTGGGGGCCGGTGCTGTGGCGCAGCAGGTTAAAGCCCTGGCCTGAAGCGCTGGCATCCCATTATGGGTGCCGGTTCTAGTCCCAGCTGCTCCTCTTCCGACCCAGCTCTCTGCTATGGTCTGGAAAAGCAGTAGAAGATGGCCCAAGTCCTTGGGCCCCTCCACCCACGTGGGAGACCCAGAAGAAGCTCCTGGCTTCTGGCTTTGGATCGGCGCAGCTCCAGCCATTGTGGCCATCTGGGGAGTGAATCAGTGGATGGAAAATCTCTCACTCATCTCTACCTCCCTCTTGTAACTCTTTCAAATAAATAAAATAAATCTTTAAAAAAAAATAAATGTATCTTTCAATTCCATTTTCCCAGGAACTTTTTGAAGTACCTTCATCACAGTATTCACATACATAAAAAGAAGCTTCAAAGAAGAAAGTCATGTTTATGGCCAAGAAGAAACGTTTCAATGTTGTAACTTTAGCTCATGTTTTGACTGATATTCATATTTGAAAAAAGTATAGGCACCAGGACTTTTTTTTTTTAAATAAACCAATGTAACAGACAAACTAACAGCATAAAATATAAGAGCTCATAAAATCACCCTAGTCAATGTAGAGGAAAACCACAAACACCAGTTTACAGTCAAAGTTCTCAGTAGACTAGGAACAGAAGATAACTCCCTCAGAGATGAAGAACATCTACGGACCTCTTTCAGCTAACAGAACACTGAATGATGAAAAAGATGCGTGCTAATGCTGGGAAACTGAACCCGATGGTTGAGAACACGGCAGAAATACCTGCAAACTTTGTTCTATTCACACTGTACTGCAGAGTCCTGACCAGGACCACAAAGGGAAAAAATACTGAAAAGAAAACATTAGAAAGTAAAGGAAAGCTACTTTTCCTAGAAGATAACATCAACACATACAAAGAGTATCCTAAATCTACAAAACATCTATTGGAATAAGTAAATTTCCCAGATACAAATTCAATACACAATATCAACTGCTTATGTACAATAAAAATAAATAATTGGAAAATGAACTTTAAAAATCATAGTAGCACTAAAAAGTAAATTATCTAGGGATACTCTAAGGAGATATGTGCAAGACCCTTACTGTGAAAAGCACAAACAATTGTTGAGGGAAACTTAAATGAACCAAAAATATCTGCAAAGATATATACCATGTTCATGGACTGAAAGACTCAACACTATTGCAATGTACATTCTTGCCAGATTGGTCTACAGATTCAATGTAGCCCCAAACAAAATCCCAGTTCATTTTCTTTTGGTAGAAACTGGCAAAAAGATTCTAACCTCTGTATAGGAAAATAAAGTTTCTAGAATTATGATGCATTCTTTAAAAAGAACACAGTTGAAAAAATTAAGAGTACATATTTAAAACTCATCAAAAAGTTCCAGTAAATAAGACCATGTGGAATTGGCATAGGCAGATAAACAGAGCAAAGTAAGAGAACTAAGTTCAGACTTATGTATTCAACTGATTTTCAACAAAGTGCCAATGCAATGCACAGAAAAATAAGATCTTTTCAAATCAGATATCTGTATGGAATGAAATGAATCTCAACTCATACCCCACATCACTCAGTGAAATTAACTCAAAAGGGATCACAGACATAAATGTGAAACTTAGAAAGTTTCTAAAAGGCAATAAAAATGGCTACCTTCATCTTAAAATAGGTAAGGATGTCCTTGAGGAAGGACCCAGTAGGCAATAACCACAGGAAAAAAAAAGATGGACTTCATCAAAAGGAAAAGACATCTGCTTATCAGATGGTATGGTGTGAAAAGCAACAGAAATTCCAGAGACTGGGAGAGAATACCCACGGTATGTATGTCTGATAAAGAACCAGGATCTACTGGAATTACATAAAGGTCTACAACTTACAGACAGACAACTCAACCAAAAAAAAAAAAAAAAAGGACAAAAATCTTCAATAGTTTCCCTTGTAATATACACAAGTGGCCAAGAAGCAAATGCACAGATGTCCAATATCATTACTCACCAGGCAAATACAAATTAACACCATAATGAGATACCACTACCCACTCACTAGAACAACCAGAATTAAGTGGCCTAATGTCAGCAAACATTGGCAAGAACATTGAGAAAGTGGGAACTCCCAGACCCACCGCCATTCTGGCCAATGGTTTACCAATTCTTACAAAAGCTGAACATACCGTCCCTCCCGGCCCCATGATCCTACTCCTCGGAAAGCATCCAAAAGCAACGAACACACAGGCTCACAGCGAGCCTCCTGCAGGCGTTTTCACGGCAGCTTCACTTGCAATAGTAACGCTGGACGCAACCCAAATGAATAGGCAAACGGCTACACAAACAGTGGTCTCTCCATACCCTGCAATATTGCTTCGCAGTAGGAAAGAAGGAGCTGATGCATACAACAGGACTCAGCAGGCACAAAGAACGCCTACCACATGACCCTGTTCCTAAGAACCTCCTCCATGGTCAACCTGTGTCCCTCTGGATACTCTCGCCAGACGAGGGTCTCCAGCCCTGGTCCTGGCTACCACGTGATGGAGACGAGCCCTGCCACTGTGAGAACCCACCAGCACACAAGTCTCTCGATCCAGAATCCCAGGCTCAGCCTCAGAGAACTGATCCTCCACTGAGTCTAGTCTAAGTCTCTCATGCTGTATGTTAATCACAGATGACCCTGGAGTCTCTGGACATCAGGAAGTAACAGAGATTCCGTCCAATAGGTGAAGGAAGACAGAGGCCACCGCAGAGAAACAAAATAGTAAGGAACAGAGAGAGAGCAGACAGTGCTTCAGGAGAGAAGCACCAGATGTTGGGGAAGAAATCAGGGTGGACACACCCCTTCCTGCTGCTTCCCTGGACAGGGGATGTGGGATAGTTTCACGGTTGCGTGTGGGCCTGGAGCCTGCCTGCCTGCCAGGGTTCAAAGCCAAGCTCCCTCCTCTTACGAACTCCATGGCCTCACCTAGCTCATTCCAGGAAGAACAGAAGCAGCAACTGAAGATCTCTGCAGAGGTTGAGCCAAGGTTGCAGGCTGGCCTTGTAACTAACACCCAGCCGGAAGGGTGCTCTGGGCAGCAACCTCTCTGGGCACCGGGTGGCAAGCAGCCACTGCTTCCTGGAAAGCACAGGTGGGCAGGTGCCGCATCCCTGCCCATGGAAAACTGCATTCCCTGTGGACACGGGGGCCAGGAGTTCAAGTCCAGCCACAGCCCTGATGCTGGGGCCCTGGTGCCATGAGTGGGTCACATGGATAGGTCAGTACCCACCCTCTCCCCACATGGGATGTGGCTACAGGGTGTGTACTGGATGGCCCATACATCCCAGCCCGGATGGTGGAATACGTTCTTCCTGTTGGGCCCCAGCAGGGGCCTGCCTGAGGGCTGCCTTGTGTCACAGGTGCCTGGAATCAAGGTCCTGGCTGGAAAGACCTGGAGAGCTTGTGTCCAGAGAAGGGGGGAGCAACAGAACAAGGTCCCATAGCAATCGGGGGCCAAATCAGGACGAGAATTGCAGGCCAATGCTGCCTGCAGACCTAGAGCACCAGCTCACAGGGAGATCGCTCGATCCCTGCCCCTCTGCCTAGAAGACAGGGCTTCCTGGAGAAGTGCCCACACCACCCTCCGTGCCCTGGACACCCTCTTCCCTCCAGGGTACCCTGGGGAGTTGGGGGCACACCTGCCAGTGTGGCTGCTGTCAGGGATCCAGAGGGTGATGGCTAACCCGGACCTAGTGTAACCCTCCCCGAGCTGAATCTGCTCATCCAGAGAACGGGGAGGGGGATCCCCACAGCTCTGCTGGGAGAAGCAAGTCAGCGAAACTCCCCCATGGGCTCCTCAATCCCCCGCCCCCCTGCCCCGAGACTCTGCTCCCTCCATCTGGGCAAGAAGAGGCAGAGCAAGAGGGCCTCCTTGCTCTGCTGCCTGGGGACATAAGGATGGAGCCCCCCTGACAGGAGGGGCATCAGCAGGCAGGCACCGGCATTATCACAAGGGAAAGCCAAGGTGTCCCTGGGGGAGGCGCTCGGAGCCGCTTCCCTTCCCTGCAGGGGAGGAGTAAAAGACTGTGGGGCCAGGGGCTGGCGGTGTGGCGTAGCGGGTTTAGTCACAGCCTGCAACGCCAGCATCCCACATGGGCGCCAGTTCAAGTCCTAGCTGCTCCACTTCTCATCCAGATCCCTGCTAACGTGCCTGGGAAAAGCAGCAGCAGATGGCCTGAGTCCTTGGGCCCCTGCACCCACGTGGGAGACCTGGAAGAAGCTCCTGGCTCTTGGCTGTGGCCTGATCCAGCACTGGCTGTTGCAGCCACTTGGGGAGTGAACCAGCATATGGAAGATCCTCTCTCCCCCGTCTCTCTGTCTAACTCTGAATTTCAAATAAATAAAATACATCTTAGGAAGAAAAAAAATAGACTGTGGCCCAGACACGGGATGGGTCCCGCCCAAGTCACCAGCAAGTCTGTGACCCAGCTGGGACTGACACCCAGGGCTTCTGACTGCCAGCTCCATGCTCCGTCTCCCGCTGAGTTTTCCAGCAACATGGACAAAGGGGGCACATGGGAGCTCCCCACGCCCATGGCCGGGGCAGAGACTGAAGCTGCACACGGCGTGTGGGTGTGGGTGGGCTGGGACTGAGCCAGAGGGGCTTAGAGGAGGTGGAGACAGGGTCACTGAAGGACTTGGACAAGGGATGCCCACCCCCCAACCCCAAACCAGGCCTCTGAGTCCATGAAGGGAAGATTCTGACCCACTGGCTCAAGAGTGGGCCTTCCAGACTACCCCTGGTAGCCCCAGGTTAGTCCCACATACTTGGAGACTGACCCCTGACCCCTGGTCAATGGCTGCCCCCCATGTCCCCCACTCTGCCCTGGCTGGGAAAGGCACTCACTGATGGGGGCGTGCAAGGCCACGTGCTCCTGGTAGGGTGTGTAGTACTTGTACTGCTTCCCGCAGAATTCACAGGTGTAGTTCCCAGTTTCTGTGCAAGAGGAAGATGACATAAGAAGTGAGAGCTGACCCCCACCCAGAAGCATCCATACATGTCCACCCCCCCAAACTCCTCCTCGTTCTGGGACCACCAAGTGGAGTTGACCCTGACTCTGGGACTAGACAGCCTCAGTGCATCCCCTGGCTCGGCCACTTGGGGCTGTGTGGCCTCAAGTTAGTCTCATAACCTCTCTGTGCCTCAGTTTCCCTACCTGTAAAGCATACACAACACTAGGACCACCTTACAGAATAGCTGTGAAGATTAAATTGCTATGTCAAGTCAGAACAGTACCTGGCACATGCCAGTCTCTCCAGTAGCTCCACCCTTGGCCCTGGCACTAGGGAAATGTGCGGTGACCCAAGCTGACCTCCAACGCCAACCTCCATCAATCCCTTTGCAAGCGCTGCCTGCTGCAAGGCCACAGCCAGAGACCATCCATGTCCCTGGGGACCCCTCCCCTTTGGTAGCAGGAGTCACTTCCTCCTCTCAGGTCCCAGCAAACTATGTCTTTACCTCTCTTTTGGCACTGCCTAACTTCTTTCTTCTTAAAAATGTCTGGGGAAAATTATAAAATTCTGATACATACAAGTGCAATATTTAAAAAGAAAACACAAACTTCAGTCACCTGTAACCCCCAAACAGAGCAGCATCTACGGCCGTGGGGCAGAGGGTGCACCTTGCTGTCTCCCCCAGGGCCCACCTTCGCTCCCATCCTACCCAGGGCACGCCTTCCTCGCTCAGAGCCTTTGTCCGTCTGCTGCGGCCTTGAATCAGGCAGCCCTGATCAATAGCCTCTTGGTAACCTGGTGTATCCAATCGACAAGACGGTGTGGGACATCCTGCCCAATCAATACAGATGGATCTCCACGTGCTGATTGGCTCCACGGCTCCCGCCGGGCTCGGGAATTCGCTAGCTGGTCCCCTACACAGACGGACACTTGGATTGTTTCACATTCTTTCCTCTTATTAAAAAAAAAAAAAAAAAAAGCTGCAATCCACATCCCTGCAAGTAGCTCTGCAGATCTGCTCACTAGTTGTGCACGCTATTGCCAAATACAGATGACTGCACGGACTCTTCGCACTGTTCTCTCTCAGGACGCCATCCTCCAGAACACGGCCTCTCCGCTGGGGGCAGCGACAGCACACGGCTGCTGCTACCTCGCAGGTTTCTAAGGGAAGCAGTTATTGTTCGGATTTCATTAACCAGTTTTGAGACTCTGCTTTTGTTTACAGCCAGTGTTTCTACAGGTGCTTTTACCTTTCTGAAAATCACTTAGCTCTATGTCGACCGAAGATAGCAACATTTTAGTAAGCACATGTTTTGAATATTTTTTCAAATTGGTCTCTTAGTCCGTATGGTTTCTAATACACTCGTGTACTATTTACCAACAATCTTGACACATGCACCGTCAGGTGATTCTGTCATTGTGCCAACATCAGAGTGCGCAGTCACACAGCCACGACGGCCTCTGTGCCACTGGGCACCACAATCTTATGTGACCACCACTGCACCTGTGTCGGGCGCAGACTAAAACGTGGCTCCATGGCACATGCCTGCAGATGTTTTAGAATTGGGGGTTCAGTGATTTTTCAACTGATTCAGGAGCAACGAGAAGGATACAAATATTATTTGCTGTTCGTGGGTTTCGGAGTTGTTCTGTCAACTGGATTAATTATATTAACTAACTCCTATGACCAGGTGCGCTGGCTCCCCAGGATGAAGTGCTGCGATAAATCCATCCATCTTGTTCTCCCAGATTTGCTTTGCACCTCTAGATACCCAAGAGCTCATGGGGCCAGAATCTTCGCTTGCTTTATTCACATGAAGAGATTCTCTAACACTTCTCAGGGTGTGTTTCTGGGGCAGGCGCTTCTGTTACAACCTGGGAACCCGAGAAACGCCCCTTCTCAGGATGCATGCGGCGAGGTCCGGCAATTTGTGTTTGAACAGCCCTCCGCTGATGCCCGGGGAAAACCAAGACCCTGGACCCCAGCATTTCATGAAACTGTCTCATCTGGCATCGCTATCGTTCATTTCCTGGTAATCAGGCAGAAGCTGCTTTCTCTCTGTTGCCTGTGCCTAAAGACGCGGCCCTGACTACTCTCATTCACTAACCAGGGCCGTGCTCCGTGCTGGCACACTGTGCGGAGCACACACAGTCACGGCTCCTGTCTTCAAGGAGTTTCTCGTCTAGAAAGGGAGACAGAAGAGCAAAGAATCACACCTGCCAATGTGAAGCTGCAATCAGGACAGGTGCTCTCCAGAAAATGGACCCCAGGCCGTGAAAACCCACGACAGGGGCTTCATCGAGTTAAGGAAGCGGCAAAGAGCGCCTGAGAAGCTCAAGTTCAGAGACACCAGTGTCTCTTAATAAATCGTTAATAGCTGGGCATTGTAAGCTAACCTGATGATCTCTGCCTTCTAATAAAGCACATTTTTCCTACCCGTGTTTATTGCTGTAACTGATTCGCTTACACAGACCGAGTATCCCTACTCCAAAAACCCCACATCCTCCGAAATCCAGTTTCTCAGGTACTGAAATAGAGTCATGCGTGGAAAATTCGACACCACGGAACCAGACTTCATGCACCGAACTATTACACATACAGTATCTAATTATCTTTACGTGTATACGGAACAGAACTTCCTGTTTAGAGATGTGGGTCCCATCCTCAAGGGATCTCATTATACACAAATATTCCAAAATCCAAAACCACTTCTGGTCTCGGGTGTTTTGGATAAGGAACGCTCAACCTGTACTACTTTTTTTTTTTTAATCTTTATTCCTTTTCTTATGCTCTACCTCTTCTGGTTTGTTGCCTCGGTTTTCAGTTTTAGATGTAAGTACTCTTTGCTTTGCTTTTCTGTTACGTGCAATATTCCATTGGTTCCCATTACGTTAGATGGCAGACATTTTTCTAATAGTTAAGAGTCAAGTGGGAGGCATTTCTAAGTCTGGCACCATTAAGAAAGGTAGTTTAACCAGGAGCTCCTCAAACCTTAGCACGTCCAAGGACCTAGAATGACTGTGATCTCACAGGCTAGTCAACCTGATCCCAGACGTCCGGGCTGGGGCCCAGGAATCTACATTTCCTTTTTAAAATTTTTTATTTATGTCTTCTCATTTTATTTGAAAGCAGAGATAGAAGTCAATCAACTAATCAATCTTCCATTGGCTGGAAGATTCACTCCTCAAATGCCCCCAAAAGACCTGGCGCATGGAAGTCAACCTACGTCTCCTATGTGGGTGGCAGGGGCCCAAGCACTTGAGCCATCACCTGCTGCCTCCCAGGGTGAGCAGGCAGCTGGGCCAGAAGCGGGGGAGCCAGGACCTGGGATGTGGGCGTCCCAGGTGGGTTCTTAACCACTGGACCCAGTGCCCGCCCCGGGACCTGACGTTTCCACCAAGCTTCCAGGCTAAGCTGCTCTCGAATCACAAAGCCTGGGACGGGTTTGGTCTACTCCACCGTACCCTCACCAGTTCCTTCCTTCTCACTTTTTAAAAGCTCACTGCTAACATTTTAGAACAATCCTGGTCGGGGGCCTTCAGCTGTGCAATGAGGCGCAGACGGGCACAGTGCACCTGCCTTTGGTGTGTACGAGGCCCCTGGCACGGTCTCACATGCAGGCCTCCAGTGAGCCCCTCCACTCAGCTCACGGCTGCCTACCTCCAAACGGCTTTGGGAAATGGGTACATGGGAGAGACAGCATGTTTTGGAGCTTTCCCTGTTTTCTGTATTACATAGTTTGTCTAGATATCAAATTTCTAGATTAAAATCTGTCCCCATCACAAGGCGCCCAGTTGGCAGTGAGTGCTAGCCATGGAGAAGCCCGAGATGACGTGCGTGCACCCCGAGTATCTGTGCAGGCGCCTGGCGCCCACAGTTTCAGAATCAGGAAACCCCATCTAGGTAAGGGTCTCGATTTCGACTCCAGCTGATGACGTGATGAGCCCTTTCAGTCGGCATGAACAGATCTTGCCGTAGCAAAGTTTTCTTCGAGCCCATCTTCCCTCCCACTGGTACTGTAACACCAGCGATCTGGAAGGGCGCCTGCTGTTGGCCATCAGGTTGTCCTGAATCACCTCTCCACCTTTGTATTTTTTCCTGTTGCTCTTTCGCCAGCTTCTGGCTCCTCTGCCACAGGCCTCTTGCAATGGACTGAACCGTGTCCCTCTGATTTTTATTCACTGACGTCTTAGCCGCTTGTGGGCCGGGGCCTTGGGGAGTTGACCAGGTTTAGGCCATGAGGGTGGGGCCCTCACAATGGGATTAGTAGTTTTTGTTTTTTTTTTTAAGATTTATTTATTTATCTGAAAGGCAGAGTTACAGAGAGGAGGAGAGACACAGAGGGAGAGAGAGAGAGATCTTCCATCGTTGGGTTACTCCTCAAATGGCCAAAATGGCCAGGGCTGCACCAGGCCAAAGCCAGGAGCCAGGATCTCATCCGGGTCTCCCATGTGGGTACAAGGGCCCAAGCACTTGGGCCCTCCTCTGCTGCTTTCCTAAGTGCAGTAGCAGGGAGCTGGAACCGACGCCCATATAGGATGCTGGGGTCACAGGCGGTGACTACCTGCTAGGTTACGACGGCGGCACGGCACTTGTGGCCTTTTAAGAAGAGATCCAGGAAGCTTCTCTCTCCTCGCCAGGGGAGACCATGATGAGCAGGCAGCCATCTACCAGCCAGGCCACGCAGAGTGTGGACTTCCAACCTCCAGAACTGTGAGAAGCCAGGTTCATGGTCTTTTGTTACAGCGTCCAAGTGGGCTAAGACTGGTCACATATTCATACATTCTGTTCTTGCAGATTTCACAGTAGATCACTTTCAGAGTGATGTTCTTCCTTTGAGTCTCCTCAATTCTTCCCACGATTGCTTGTTTCCTTTGCAATTTACCATCCCCTACCCAGTAAAGCAGAAACAAAGCCAGCTCTCCCATTTCAACAGACGACATGCAGAAATTGCCCCTAGCCTCCTCCCACGGAGGGCCCAGGCCTGCAGCTGAAGAACAAGCCCGCGCCGCGCGCAAGGCTCCATGGGCCACCATTCTCCTCGGAGCTGGAGTCCTGTGCTCCAGTGCCTCCCTCCCTCTGGCTGAGCGATGCCAATGTGGAAGGCACACTTGCCATGGGAGAGCTCCTGTCCCCTTCACCCAGGGGGCGTCACGCAAGACAAGCAGCTCCCCTCCCCCATCCACAGCGCCTCTGCTGGCTCCCCTTGGCCTGTGGCTGCTTGCCTGCTTACGAGAAGTGGCAGGAGCCCAGGAAGCAGCGTTCTGAGCGCTAGCAATGTGCTCAGCCCCACGAGGGCCGGCTGGGAGCACGCCGGCGGCCAGATCCAGCGTGGCTTTCTAAGTACGGCTCCACGCTCCTCGGTATCTGTGAGCAGCTCGCGGGCCCGACGTGGGCTGCCTGTCAGACTTCATTACAGACAGAGCAAACGTCCCCTGGCTCTGCTGCTTCTGTAATTAACAGCTGTCACCTCCTCGATACTTGCCAGGCCTCTGGAAAGTCCTTCGCCAATCCCCTTACATGTGGCATCTCACTGGATCCCCCAGGACAAGCCTGGCAGGTGAGCCTTACTGTCGCCACCCATTTTAGGTGAAGAAACCGTGCAGGAGGCCGATGAGAAAACTCGTAGGACATCCTGCAGCCATGACGTGCAGAGCTGACACGCGTCTGAGCTGCCTGGAGAACTGGTGCCCCGGGCCTGGCATCGTGGCGCAGTGGGGAAGACACTGCCTGTGATGTTGGCTTCCTGTTTGAGCACAGGTTCAAGTCCCGGCTGCTCCACTTCCGATCCAGCTCCCTGTTAATGTACCTGGGAAAGCAGTGGAGGATGGCCCAAGTGCTTGGGTCCCTGCCACCCACAGGAGAGACCCAGATGGAGTTCTGGGCTCCTGGCCTGGGCCTGGCCCTTGCTGCTGTGGCCATTTGGGGAGTAAACTAGCAGATAATAAATAAATCTTAGGGGGAAAAAAAAGGAAGATCTCTCTCCCTCTCTCTGCCTCTGCCTCTCTATAACTCTATCTTTCAAATAAATAAATAAATAAATCTTAAAAATAAAAAAGATAACTCTTTAAAACCCTGGCCCTTGTCTGCTTCTCAGGAACATCTCCCACTTACTACACCTTGAATTTGAGTCAAGAGCTGGCCTCCGGCGCCGCGGCTCACTAGGCTAATCTTCGCCTGCGGCACTGGTACTCCAGGTCCTGGTCCTGGTCGGGGCGCCGGTTCTGTCCTGGTTGCTCCTCTTCCAGTCCAGCTCTCTGCTGTGGCCCGGGAGTGCAGTGGAGGATGGCCCAGGTGCTTGGGCCCTGCACCCCATGGGAGACCAGGAGAAGCAGCTGGCTCCTGGCTGCAGATCAGCACAGCGCGCTGGCCGTAGCGGCCATTTGGGGGGGTGAACCAACAGAAGGAAGACCTTTCTCTCTGTCTCTCTCTCTCACTGTCTAACTCTGCCTGTCAAAAAAAAAAAAAAAAAAAAAAAGGCCTGGCCTCGACCCTGTGTGTGTGATTCCTCCAGGTGCCCTGCTCTTGTTCCTGCCTCACAGAAGAGGGACACGGGGGTGGCTGTCACCTGGGGGTGCCGGCGTTCACCTCCAGGCCGCTCGGATTCCAAAGCCCATCTGCGTAGCGACAGCGCCCGGGGCGGAGGGCTGAGCTTCGCTGCGGCTGCCGAGAGACAGCGCGCAGAGGCGGAAGACCACGCTCCCTCCAGCCCCGCCTGGATCTGTCTGCGGGGCTCCGTCTCCCCCACAGACGACGAAGCCTCCGACTGCTGGGCTCCTGTCTGTTTCACAGCTGCAGAGTCTCGCTTGCGGCAGTGTCCGTGTGCAGTACGGCATCGCCATTTCCTCTCCAAGGCCGCTTTGATGTTGCTGCTGCTGTCCACCCTGCACGTGACAAGCACCGGGCCCACCCTCTCCTCCACAGGACCTTCTGCCCAGGTAACTGTTCCCACAGAGCAGCCCCTCAATGGCAGACAAAGTTGGAAGAAGGAGAAGCCTTCACGGGGGCCCGGGCCCGCGAGGACCACCAGGGACGTCAGTGTCTCGGCTCCTCTGACTTCGCTTCCCTCGGAATTCCTCAGCCACTTGTTCCAGTTCTCATAGCTTTATGCACATTGCCTTAGCTCCTTGTAACGATGCAGACCGGAGATTCTCTCCCGACTGGCCAGCGAGCGAGGCGTGGGAAACCCCGAGGGGCTGCAACTCGTGAATCTCACTCCTCACCGGCGGTCCCCCTGCACCTGCCTCCTCCCGGTCCAGTCTCTCCTCCGCAGCCCACACTGCTCGTCTCTTCCCCATTGAGTCCCCTCTCCCACCCACTGCTCTCAGGGTGAAGTTGAGGTACACCTTCTGGCATCTGGGGGTCTTACGATCTGAACCCCACATGGATTCTCAGAACCAGTGCTGCTCTCCTGTCTTTGCCTGGGGTACAGGGGCTGATTCCCTGGCCTTACCCAGCCCTAGGCACTCCCGGGGTGCTCCCTGCACTTCTGTGCTGTAACTCTCTGCTCACTTATCTGTTGTCACCGCTGTGTCATTCAGCCAAGGGCAGAGCCACATTGGACCTGCTCAGCGCCCTGTCCCCACAGCAATCATTGTAAGTTGGCCAAAAGCAGGCAAGTCAGTGTGTGTCCCACCCTCAAAGGGTTTCTCGGGGCAGGGACAGAGGGCCTGCAGTGGCTGCCCTGGGTGGGTTCCCTGGCTGCTAAGCCCCTTTGGGGACTGTAATGACAGTCATCTTCCAAGCACTGACTATGTACCAGGCACTGTGCTAACAAGTGGTTCACAGCCATGACCTCATTTAATCCAAGAACCCCGTAGGAGTGTCACCCCCAGTCCACAGGGGGCTGAGGGCCAGGATGGCAGACAGCCTCGGTGGGCACTGCACATGGAAGGAGCAGAGCTGAGGCTCCGCCCCAGCCCGTGGCAGCATTCACTGCCCTGACCCTGACCCTGACCCTATGCTGTCTGCGGCTCCTTGAGAGCCAAAGTCCTAGCCTGACGGGCCCAACTCACAGACAGGCACCCTTGCTGTGGGCTGAGTGAGGCCACGCCCTTTCCAGCAGGGTGGGGGGGACTCAGCCCTGCCTCCCTGTCAGTCTTCACCCAGCCCCAGAGTCCCGCATACTTGGCCCGATTTTCTGGAATGGCTCCGGGGGCTCCTCCTTCACCTCGTCCGTGGCCACGACACCTTGGTCAAAGGGGTCTGTAGGAGAAGACACACAAGGCGCTCAGCACCCTGGCCATGCCCGGTCTCAGGAGCCCAGCTGGGGACAGGAGAGGTGTGCAGCGGCTGCGGACTTACCTGCCCGATTCTCGGGGGCCCCTTCCACGCTAAACACTGCGCCCAGGCGGGAGGCGGCAGCCGCAGAAGGAAAGAAGCAAACAGGAGCCCTGTTAGTCCCTGCCCACCGTGGCCTCTGCCCGCCGCTCCCAGCCTCTGTCCAGCGGGTTTGCCTCTGCAGCCCAGGAGGGCTACCCAGGCCAGTGTGGAAGCCCCAGGAAAACAGGGGCCACACGAGGGGCCACAGCCGGTGCCTCACTGCAGCACCCTTAGAGAGGCAGGTGCCCACGCCAAGGCAAGCAGGTGCTCTTGGTCTGGGCCTGGCTCTGCATTCCCAGCATGCACTGGAGAGGCCAGGGCAGGAGAAAGGAGGAAGAGGCTGGGAGGAGAGGAAGAGAGGAAGTGAGAGGAAAGGCAGGCCGGCGGCCACAGGTGTGAGCCTGCTCGTCACAGCTCGAGGCGAGCTGGGGTGTGGGGCCAGACACAGCAGGAACCCCAATGTCCTGTCTGGGTCCAAGACTCTCTTTCTAGGATTCCTAAGACTCTACAAATGTCTTACATAAATTTATTGTTCTAATTTCCAACTCTGTAATCTAAAATGCTAAAAGTGCCATCCTTCATTTTTAAAAATTGGTTTAATTTCAGCAGGGCGTGCAAATGCTCTATAAAAACCGTAAAATGACACGGTATGCAATTCTACTTTGACCTATAAAAACAGCAGACTCAAACAGGCGTGTACATGGAGCATGACGGGGAAATCCCCTCCCCCAGAATCCTCCAGGGCAGCGCTCTCCCCTCACGGTTCTGGCTGCTGCCTGATCTTTCTCTGGCAGGAGGCAGGCAGGTGGACGGGCTGGGGGCTGGGGAAGCCGGGCGAGGGCCCCTGGGCGAGACTCAGGGAGTGCGGGGCCTGACTCACCATCCACCGCGTGCAGGTCCCGGTGCTCCTGGAAACAGCTGTAGTATTTGTATTTCTTGCCGCAGATGTCACACGTGTACCTGAAATTGTCTGCGAGGGAGAAGACACACGGGGTTACCAGGGCTTCCATCATCCGGGATGGGAGTTTTCTGGCCAGCTCATCAGCCTCAGGAATCAAGGCTGGGACTAGTCCCATCTGTCCCAGCTGCAGGGCCCCATGGAGGAAAGTCCAGGCCCTGGCTCCTCCGGGCCCAGCACACCTTCCCCACGTGCCCTAGGGTGGGGGGATGGACAGATCCGGCCTTGGCCCGGTCCCAACTCCCATTCCAGACCAGCTCTGATCACTTCCTGGGTCCACAGGCTTTGGGTGGAGGTGTGAGGGCTCCTCTGTGGAGCCCCAGACCACACTGTGACCAGGGGGCCTTGAAGTGACCCCACCAAAGGGCCTACTTCCTATCAGGTTCCTTTCCCTTCCGCCAAGGTTACCTGGCAAGGGTGACAACCCCATGATAGCCACATGCCAGGAGTGACCACGTGCCAGGCCACGGCCTTCCCCCGCAATTCCTCACTCCTGTAACACGGGGAAGAGGCAGTCTCCCATTGTACGCAGGAGCAACTGAGGGCAGGAGGAGCCTGCCAGGCCCTACAGCCTGCAGGTGGGCGAGTGACCAGCTTCCGAGACGGCGCCCAGTGACCCTTCCCTGCGAGTCTGGGCCTGACTAAGGAACAGAGCACCGCCAAAGTGAGGTCAGAACACGGAAGAGCAGGACTTTGGTCTTGTGCACAGCCTCTCTCCCTTGCACTGTCGCCGGCCGCCACCTTGCCAACTGCTCCCTGCAGAGGGGCAGGAAGCAAGGAGCTGACAGCAGCCTCCAGTGAACAGCCAGGAAGGGGCTGTGACCCTGACAGCTCAGACGGACTGAAACCTGCCAACATCCACGCACATGAACTTGAGACGAGACACGGCCCTCGCAAACAGCCTAAGCACAGTCCGTGAAACCCAGAGCCAGGAACCCAGCAGTGCTGCATCAGGGACAGTCCAGGTTTGTTGCTCTCAGGCATGGGGCTTGGGGCACACTTGCTGCACGGCAATGGAGGCCTGAGTCTAGGTGACCCCCAGAGCCCCTCTCATACCAGCAACACTCTCCACCATCCACACTGGCCCATCCCCCTCACATCCCTGGGGATCCCAGGCACACAGACAGGAGCCCTGAGCCTGACACCTGCAGCTCCGGCACCTGTGGTCACTCTGAGGCTGCTGGGGACCCGAATCACCCAAGGCAGGACTGGTGGGGCATGGGGCCTGAGAGGTCAGGTCCTGCTTCCGAATTCTTCTCCTTTAACGTGCAGAGTGGGCTGTAGAGGGGCTGATTCCTGGGGCCTCGCCCAGGCTGGGGGTTTCAGGGTCTCCAGCCTGGTTCAGGCTTCCATGCTCTCCCAGGCTTGGACAACAGCCCTCCCACCCTGTCCCAATCAGATCATGATCCCCAGCCACGCCCCCACCCTGCCTCCCTCACTGCCCAACCCCTGGGCACAGGCAGGCGAAGCTGGCCTCCTGGGGTCCAGATACAGACAAGGCCCTGCCCCTGAAACCTTCCCTACTCTGCTGCCCAGTTCTGGTCACCACGGGCAGCTGTCTGTCCACTTGTCCCTGCCTCTCACCACAGGGCCATGCCCACCACCTCCAACAAAATGAACTCCTGGCTTTCTGCCACGGAGAAGCGCTGCCCTGTTCCGCTGAATCACACACCACGATATCCCCTCGGGGTGGCTGGGGACCACGTTCCCAATCCCGAAGGCAGGCGCGCGATAGGGCAAGAGGTATTGCCAGAGCAGGAGGGCAGGTGATGCTTCTGTTCGTGAGGCCGGGTTTGCAGAACCCCAGGGATGCTCAGAGTCTCCAGGCACCCATGCTGGAGTCTGGCTGCCTGAGCACAAACTCAACTCTCCCACCCCAAGAGTGATGGGGCTTGGGATGTGCCCGAAACTCTGCACTTCAGTTTTCTCATCTGCAAACTGGGAACAAAGATAGTTCCTCCATGCCCTGGAGTTGTAATAAAGAATACAAGGGCTATGCAAATAATAATGAAAGGGAACAGAGAGTAAGTGATCTAATGAATACTTGGTAAATGTTACCTAGTGTTGTTTCCCGAAGAGAACCAACATGACAGTTCCCCGAGACCTGGATGTGGGGCTGAGCCTTCATTTTCTTAAGTGAGACGTGGGTGAGCAGGCCTCTCTATGCCTCTCTGCCTGACTGCACTATTTTCCTAATAAACCAATGAGAAGTGCCTGGACCAGAAGACACAAGACCAGGTCTCACGACTCATGAACTGCGTGAGTTCTCTCTGCGACTTGCTGTTCTCATCTGCAAACTGGGGAGCTGTCCTCATCCTCTCCACCAGACCTTTCCAGCTCCCAGGCTCCATGCCTGGGCCCCTGGAGCCGGAGGACAGGAGCCCCACGCAGTGCCGGCACCGAGCCGCACACAGCATCCGGGTGGGGCAAGCTCCACGAGGAGACACAGACGAGCATGAGCAAGACTAAAAATATCCCTGGCCACAGAGCCCTCCGTGAGCAGCGAGCCCACCCGTGGCGGAAGTGTGGCGGAAGCTGACGGAGCAGGGAGGGTGCAGAGTGGCCCAGCCCCAGAACAGTGAGGAAGGAGAGAGAGAGAGAGGAAGTTCTTTCAATGTGTGGCTGACCACAGGCAGACCACAGCAGCCAGAGAAGAGGAAGCTACTGAGGGAGAAGGAGTCCAGGGCCAGGCTGGGGCAGGCCGGGGGTGGCAGAGGCCCACCTCCCTCCAGCCCAGCCAGGGGTCCTGTGGCAGGTGTCCTGCCAAGCTGAGGGTCGACACCCCTCGGGACCTGGTAGGACCTCAGCCCTGCTCGCCTCTCTTGTGGGCTAAGAGCCAGATGGAGAGGGGATGGGAAAGGGTTAGGAAGATGTGGCCCAGCCAAGGCCCTTCTGCAGCCATGGCCACCTCCCAGCCTGCTTTGTTTTGTTTGTAAAGATTTATTTTACTTATTTGAAGGGCAGAATGACAGAGAGAGAGAGACAGAGAGAGAGAGAGAGAGAGATTTTCTATCTGCTGGTTCACTCTCTAAATGGTCATAAGGAAGCCAGGAGCTGAGAGCTCCATCCGGGTCTCCCACGTGGGTACAGGGGCCTGAGTATTTGGGCCATCTTCCTTCCACTGCTTTCCCAGGTGCATTAGCAGGAAGCTAGATTGGAATCAGAGCAACCGGGACTTGAACTGGCACTCTGATAGGTGATTCTGGTGGTATTATGAGGTGGTTTAACACACTATGTCACAACACCAGCCCTGGGTTTGTTTAATGTGGATTTATTATCTTACAAAAATGTTCATGGTGGTGTAACAACCACAGAACAGCGGCTGGCACACTACATCCGTGGGCCGGATCCTGCCCACCATCTGCTCTGGTGAGGCATGAGTTGACATATGGCCTCGGCTGTGTCCCTACACCAGGGGAGGCCCGAGGGATGATGGAGCTGTAGGCCTGGACTAAAATTCTCACCACCTGGCCCTCTGCAGAAAACCATCCCTCACCCTGGCATTCACCAACCGCAGACAGCTGTGTCCCCAGCACTCAGCTTGGGAAGCCGAACATGGAAGCCCATCCCAAGGGCACCCACTCCTCTGACTGCCACCTGCAGCAGTCGGTGCCGCCCGGGTCTGGGCTCTCCATGGATGCTCAGCAGGCAGGGGCAGGTGCCTGTGTGTGGCTGCACCTGCTCAGTGGTGGGTCGGTGCCTGGGACTGCAGTGCCATGTGCAGCCCGATGCCCTTCACTTTGCCGACCGCACGGCAGTCATACAGGCGAATATGCATTTTTTATCCATGCAACCAGTGCCTGGCACTCGGGGGGCTGCTGGTTTGGAGGGGCTAGGAACAGAACACGAAGAACACTCCAGTTTGCACCTTGGGGCAGACGTGCGCACCTGTTTCTGTGAGATGCCTGGCTGGGCTGGGCCTGCTGGCTTCTGGGGCTCAGTGTTGGGAAGAGGCTCCATCATACCCTGCAGCCCCCGCCCCCGGCTGGGGGGGGCAGGACGGAAGGGAAGGCAGGTGGGCCTGAGAGCAGCACAGCGCTGTCCTCAGGTGACAAGGCCTCGTGTCACCTGGGCTCTGGGGAACAGTGCCCCAGGGCAAAGCCCCCATGTGCCGTTCAGCCCACAGCTCGGGTGCCCATGAGATGGTGCTCTGAGGCAGCATTTCTCAAACCCCAGCCACGGAACCCAAGACCCACGTGTGAGTCAGAGAGAGAGGGGGCAGGAAACTGCGAACACTGGGCTCCTGCCACCGAACAGCTGAGAAGTCCATGGCAAACACCTGCTCATCTGAGTGTCACTCAAGGTTTCCCAAAGTCACCCGATCAGAGAACCCTGATGGGCAGAAAGCCTATCAACTTCCCCAGGACAAACATGCCACGGAACCCACTTTGGGAAGGGCTGCCCTAGGCTACCGTGTTTGGTTTCTAGAAGGATGGTGCAGCCTGGGGTGGTCTCTCCTGGGCCACCTGGTACCATGTCGGGGAGGGAAGGGACCCCCCACTTCCTCCCAACCCCACCTCGGCTCCCAGCCCAAGAGGAGAGAACGGTACTCACTGCTCTGGGAGGCGCCCTCCCCCGAGGTGGCTTCAGTATCTGCAAGAAAGGGAGGGCGTGAGCCACGGGGGCCTGATGTCAGCTCGCCCTGACCCCTGCCCTTCGCCCCGCCCGCCAGGCTCACGGAGGAGCAGGCGCCGTCCTGCCCGTGCCCTCGGCTTCCTCATCTCCAGGATGGGAAGTGGCAGGGGTGGGCAGGCACACTCTGGAGTCGTCACAGGAGCAGGTGCCCAATGCTGCCTCCTCCTGGGAGGAAGGGGGCCCATGGGGAGCGGGCAGGGGACCCCCAGGGCCGAGGCCTGGCCGCCTTTCCTGCTGGCTCCCCCAGCCCAGGCCTCTCCTCTTGGCCCTGGTGCCCCTTCTCTGGCACACAGGGGGCGCAGACTGGAGCTCTCAGACGGGCCCGCCGGCTCTGCCCGGCACTCACCTCGGTGTGCCCGGACGTGGGTCTGGAAGCAGTTGTAGTACTTGTACTTTTTGCCACAGATTCCACACTCGTAGGACCCTGGAAGACAGCAGAGGAAAGGACTGGTCAGCCTGCACCTTGCGCCCAGAACCACAGGCCCCAGGGAGCACTGCCCTAGGAGCCGGGAGGCCTGGCGTCGACGAGCACGTCCCAGGCTAACGCGACCTGGCTTCGTGCGGTCCAGATCTGCCTCCGACTCTCCCCGAGTGGCCCTGGGCCTGCGACCCCGTCTCTGGGCCTCGGTGTCCACATACGGAGGATGGAAGAGGTCCCCTCTGCCGCTAACCCTCCTCACTCCTTAGAGGCAAAAGATGAATGTGAGTGTTCTGAAGGAATGGACAGCACCCACCCAAGGACGGCTGTCCTGCGACAGGCGATGACCCCCAGCCGCCCTGTCTCTTTGCCAGGACGGGATTGAGGTCAAGGACAGACTTCAAACTGGATGTCCCCACGCTGCCACTTACCAGCAGCCTGCGCTGCGTCATTTCCTTAGGCACACTATGTCTCAGTCTGCTCATCTGCAGAATGGGGCCAGAAGTACCAGCCTTAAGGGGTGGCCTCACATTCCCCGTAGGAAGTATCTGCCCCACTGCAGACATACTGGACAAGGACAGGACCCCCTGTCCCCAACCCACTGAGGAGCTGTCTCACTTCCTCAGACACACACAGACCAATGTGATGTAAACACTGACCCCAGCCCCCTGCCAGGCACAGCAGGAGTCCACTCGTGCAGAGCAGGGGACAAAGGACCGTGGTAGGACCCCACTGTTGGACCCAGCCTGGCAGGGCCCCGGGAGCACAGGCCTGAGCAGCTCCCATTTGCCAGAGCCCACATGCAGGTCGGGCCCAACAGCACGGCCAGAGAGCCTGGCCAAACACAGAGGCTCTGGCCCCAGGGTGGGGACCCAGGAATGCGCCTTTTCCCAGGAGGTCCTCAGGGACTCTGGCTCCTGGCAGGCAGGTTCAGGAACTGCCAGATGAGGGGAGACCCCGGGTGGAGTCTCAGCTTGGCCACTGCCTGCCCATCGAGAAAACACGGATAACACAGGAGAGCTCTCGTGAAGACTGCTGAGTGTAGCCAGCGCCAGACCCTCCACGCGTGGTGGCGATCGGGGGCTTCCACTCTCCCTGGGCTCGCCTGGATGCAGAGGCCCACGGCCTGGGACTGCGCTCAAGGTGTCGGATGAAGCCAGAGCGGCGCTGGCTTCGGAGTCTTCGTGTCAGCTCGGCCCTCCCCCTGCAGCCACGCCCACTGACCCACTAGCCTGTCTCTGCACCTGCAGACAGGACTCAGCGTCCCAGGACTGGGTTCAGGATCAAGAAGGGTGCAGCTGGCACGGGGGAGGCATTCAGAGGCAGTCACCAGTGCCACCGGTGCTCCTGTGAGGTCCCTCCGGGGGACTGTGCCCTCTGACCCCAGCAGGGCACTGCTATTTAGCGGTCTGTGTAGGATCCTGGTCACTCAGGGAAAAACATGAACACGCAGAGGATGAACTGCGGGTGCTTCTTTCTCTGTACTGAGCCCCGTGACCGGCACAGCGCGGGCCTCGATACAGCCAGGGTATCTTGCTGCTAGAAGCACCTGCCACCCAGTACTCATGACCCCGGCTCCCTTCCTGCTGCTCTGCCCACTCTGCCACGTTCTCTGCCAATCCCCCTTCAACTACGGATTCCAGGAGCTTCTGCAACGGGCCTGGCACTGAGACCTCTGCAGTGAGCAAGATACCATACCAGCCCTCTGTCAAACGGGCAGCATGCAGGCCACCAGGGACAGGGGATGGCACAGGGTGCTAGCGCCGTGCAGCGCCACAATCCTGGGTTCCAACCCAGCTCTCGGCCTTCCCATCCGGGAAGCCACCACACGCTTCCCTGATGGTCAGCATTTTCTCAAGGACCCAACTTCCTGAACACATCCCAGGAGAAAGAGGCCCGTGGCCGCGCACGCGGGAGGACGACCTCTGGCCCAGCCCTGTCCAAGACACAGGAGCTGCCGACGGCTCTGAGAAGTCCCGCAGCCTCAGCACCACCGCTGCTGAAGCCGGGTCTCCCAGTCACCTCCTGCCCCCTTGGGGCCCACAGGAAGTGATGTCAGAGCGGTCTGGATGTTCTGGACTCCTGGCTGTCCAAGTCCTCTGCCCATCCACCCAGCAGCCCCGGGGCTTGGGGTGGTGCGGAAGGCGGCCCCGTGAGGCCTGGAGATGCTGTCAGGGTCTGTGAACGTGGGGGTCTGTAGCCAGTGGCTCTGGCTCGGTCCAGCCGTGCCCCCCCATCATGCTGGCCTGCATGAGGCCCTGCCCCGTCGGCCATCACGTACCCGATGCATATCTCAATGCTTGGTCAAAAATCCAGGTCCCTGAATACCGGCTTCGCACAGATCCACCGTGGGGGCTGCCTTCGGGCGCTTTTCCATCTGAATCACGTAAGAGATCAGAAAGAGCCCTTGAAGTTGCAGAATGTCTGGGCATGTGGGGAGGGGGCGGGGCGCCAGGGGAAGGGCTGCGAGGAGGGCCTGGCTGGTCACCCGTGCTTTCACGGCCTCGGCCTCCCCAGCCGTTTGTGGAGGAGAGCGGGTGGGAGTACGCTTCGTGCCTCCTTGCTCAGGCATGCGTGCTGGCCAGGAGGCCCCGTGTGCTAGCCAGGGGGGCCGGGCATGGCAGAAAGCAGCCGCGACACACTCCACTCCACCACAGGGCAGTGGCTGCTCTGCCTGCAGACTCGGCACATGGTCATCACCTCAACGTTCTCCCCCGGAACCTCCCAACAAGCGACTCTCCAGGAAGATGTGCCCCTCAGGCACTGTGGCCCATGTCCCCTTGGCCTACGGCCACCACGGGCCCTGGGTTAGTGAAGCAGGCCCCTGGAGGGCTTTCTCGGGGACTCTCAGCTTGGACAGTCCCTGGCCCCTGTGTCCATCTCCCCACCCCGCACACTTGCTCGTCTGCAAGGTCCCCCCAGCTAAAAGCCACGGCAGGCGCCCTGACTGCAAGGTACCAGGCACTGTAGCTTATGTCACCTGCAACATCTCTGCCCAGCTGGCCTCTGACCCCCTGCACAGGTGAGGAAGGCTGTGGCAGGTGTGTGCTATGGCTTGGCCAGCCCCGCAGCCAACTAGTTAGTAGGGGTGGGGTCCGGACGAAGGGGCTTCTTACACCTGCTCTGCTCAGCCAACAATGGGATTATTACCCCATTATTATAAATGGGGAGACCAAGGACCAACAGGGAGATGCATGGAGCTGGAGCCTGCTTAGGTCTGCCTTGCTCCATGGCTTGGGGTGCAGCAGCCACACAATCAGACCCTCAAAAAGCTCCACGAAAGGCCGGCATTGTGAGCACTGACAATGACCCATATCCAGGCCTCACTTCCATCTGCCACCTTTCCCCTAAATCCTCCTAACCCAACCCTCAGATCAAAATTGAGCGTGAAGTTCTTTCTGGAAGCCAAGGTGTCCAGGGCTGGGCAGGGACTGAGCTCTATGCTGGCCTCCAGGGCTCCAGCACCACCTGCGAGATTGTCCAGTGAGCTGTGTGCCCCTCCCATCATGGGGCTTCCCTATCTCCGAGGGGCATGAGGGCCCCCACCCCCTGCTATGTCTGGAACCTCCCCAGGACTCCCAAGAGTCCCCTGTCGAGAGCCCCAGGATGACAGCCAGGGACAGCTGGCAGGGCTCAGGGGCCCATGTTCTTGCTGCCGCTGGTGGCGCAGCCGGAATCCACAGTCCCCCCCCCGCCCTATCAGCTCACAGCACCTGTCCAGCATATTCTGTAAGCACCTGGCAGAGACCTGAGCTTAGCTCCAGGTGAGGCCAGGTGGGTCTGGTTCCTGAGGCCACGAGGACAGAGGTCCAGGAGGAAGGCAGGGTCCTGAGGACGAAGGACCTGGGGCAGCCCCCGTCAATTCTCCCCGCCTGCACGCGGCCAGCTCCAGAGATGCTTGGACGCCTCTCAGGGCACACAGAGCTCAAGAAGACAGAAATCCAAGCAGGCAGCAAATGGCAGCAGGAAAACGCAAGGGTGAGGACAGGGACAGGAGTCCTGCCCGGGAGCCACCGCTCACAGATCCTCCCCGGCAGGCGACCACAGAGCTGGTCCCAGCACCTGTCAGAGGACAGGGGACTTGGAGAAGGAAGCCGGGGCCAGGCGGGCTTCCTGAGGTCTCTGGAGCAGGGTTGCCGAGTGGGGCGCAAACTCCCCGGGGTTCCACATGGGGGCTGTCCAAGGGTTCTGCGAGCCACAGCGGTTTCAGGAGGCTCAATCCCCCTGTCGCCAATTTCCAAATGTGTTCCTTCTCCCAAATCAATGGGCCAGGTAATGGGACAGGCGGGAGGCACCGTGCTGGTTCTCCCATCACCCATCTCCCAATCTGCTCCGCCCACCCCTCATCCCACCACGCTGCCTTCCTTGGGAGGGGACAAAACCTCGGAGCGCCCAGCAAAGTGAAGATCTGAATATCAACAACGTCAACACTGGGCTCTCAAAATGAGTGCCAACAACTCCTTTTCCCAACAGGGTGACTGTCAATCCTCTGCCTTCAGCAACACAGGAGATGGATGTAACGGAGCCGTCGGCGAAGAGGCCAATGGAACACTGCCTGATGACGACCCCCGCGCGAGGCCTTGGCAAGCAACCCGGAAGCAGTTCAAGGAACGGAGCGAAACTGCGGGGAAAAAAAACTCTCTCACCAGCTCCTAGCTTGTAGGCGCTGGCACCTCCCACCCCCCAAAAACCAAAAAACCCCAAACACTGGGCACCCCACGAGGGCTGACTCCTGCCTCATTCCGGCATTAACAGCGGCGACTTCAGTCTTGTTTGGCTTCTATGTTCACTATTCACCTGAATTTGTGACGAACTGGATGCTAATAACAACCCAATCTGGATTAAAAAAAAAAAAAAAAAAAAGGTTCCGAAAGAGAGCACTTTAGGATCCCAGAAAACATTTTTCAGAAATTTCTCACTTCAATTCATGTACGTCTTGTTGCGGCAGATGTGTGTGAAACAGTGATCAATAAAAGACTTTGGAGCGGAAAAAATATATTGCATTAGGATAAGACCCGGTGGGGGGAGGGGCGTGGAAAGGCGGCTCAAGGAGAAAAAGGAAAGACGTCAAATTTCTGACTGCTGGATGAGCCCGTGCATATGCTAAGCGATGACGGCGGCCGTGTTTGCATTCCCTTGGATTCATTGAGGAAGGGTTCACAGCTTTAGTTCCAAAATGCCACTTTCTTTTTAAAAAACACAGCATTCTGGAAATGATATGCTTCGCGGTGACTTAAATGCTGGAGAGAAATGTTCGCTGTCAGACTCAGAAATGGGGAGAAGGTACAGCTTTTCAAAAACCCTGGCTGGGCCATGGTTTGAGTGGGTGTCCCAAAGATGCCCGCTCACCCGCCTCGTGAGGTCCCACAGGGCGGAAGCTCAATGGCAGAGGCGTGGCATGGAGCCTCCAGGACTGAACACGGTGGCTTCATAAGAGAGAAAGGTCAGGGGCACACACCTGGGAGCCCCTTGCCCCCAGCTGTGTGATGGCTGACAGGGGTGGGGAACCTTTACTCTGCCAAGTGCCACTTGGGCATTTATAACCTCACTCGCCAGCCACGTAAAATGATCAACTGAAGCATCAGCCTGCGACAGGTTTGCTGAATCTTGGGTCCCACCTGCAGTTACCGTGGCAGGCCAGACCAAAGGATCCTGCAGGCCTAATATAACAGCCCACGGGCCAGACACTCCCCACCCCAGGTCTGTGTGCCTTGTGCCAGCATCTTGAGACTTTGCCAACAAGAAGGCTCCCACACACCAGCACTACCCTCACCCCCACCCCGGGGACTTCCAGAACCATGAGCCAAAAATAAGCTTCTTTTTAAAATAGCCTCGTGCAGCTTGTTATAGTAACAAAAACTGAAACCACAGAGGGACTGAACAAAAACAAGGTGCTTGGAATCTCTGGCCTCGGGACTCCTGTCACTCCGGCGGCAACCCCAGAGTCACCAACATGCCGAGGCTTCAGCTGAGCCCAGGGGTGTCTGTTGTGCACGTCTGTCCCCTGTGTGAAAATGCTTTCAGATCTGGTCTGCACTCCGTCCCCAGCAATGCCACGGCGAAGATGGGCCGCTTGTGAGGCGCCCACGGACCACTCAAGCCGCGGTGGCGCCAAAAGGGTCCCAAGAGCCTACTGGGACCGACCCTAAGTTTCCATGTTCAGCCGCGGGCCCTTCCCCACGTGGGGACCCTCCAGCCAGGACTGCCGGATGCAGGGGCAGGACGCGCCAGAAGGCCTGCTTTCCAACTGGCTGCAGCCTGGAGCGAGGCGCTGGCTCTGGCAGGCTCGTGTGTGCGGCCCTGCCAGGAACCGATTGAAACAGGAAACTCGCTCTCAGCTGGCACCGTGCAGCAGGGCCTGGCACCCGTGCTGCCTGGGTTTGTCATAGGCCGAAACCCACGCAGCTGCGTCTGAATGGCTGGCTCGTTCCTCTGCTGCTCCTGCCAGAGCCGCGGCCCGGCCACTGCCTCCCAGCTTCCTCCCTGCCCAGAAACCCCCACGCAGAATCCATTCTCGTACCCGATCCTTGCCTTCCTGGCCAAGGCACCCCCCAACCCCCCGCTCACTCACATCCAGGCCGGGGCACGCGCCCCTCACAAGCCTATATCCAGTCCCCACCATCGCCAAGCCCCTCCTGATCTGCTGAGCCAAAATCACCGCCCCGGCGACTTCTCCCTTTGAGCTCGGGCTACCTGGAACGCATGGGCTCTGTCTCCCCCCGCACAACGCCACCGTAAGGTGAGAATATTCAGCTCCCATCACCGGCTCCCCGCAGCTGCGCTCCCCCTCACCCCATCTCCTCTTCTGCTGGACACACAGCCCTTAGCTCTTCCACACCGCTCCTCCCCACAGTGAGCTGCATGCTGGGAAATGGCCCAGTGGTCCCAGGCCCCCCCATCTGAAGGCGAGCCGAGCTGAGGCCGGGGCTCCTACGCAGCTCCCAGGAAGCTCGGGACCACTCAGGTCTCCACACACCTGCACCTGTCATCTCTGTGTTAAGGACCAATGGCTTCACAACACAGAGAAAGGCGCCCATGGCACGCCAGTTCCTTTTATGCACCAGGAAGGGTTCTGGCTGTCCTCACGTCTTGGAACCAGGAACCGGCTCAGCTTGCCCCACTGCCACCTAGGACAAGGTGAGTCCGCAGGTTTCTACTTCCAGTTTTTCAATTGCAGCTGACGGTGACTTATGCATACTCTGTGTTGAGAAGGATTCTGAGGGGCACTGTTGGAGACAGCTAGCAAGGCTGGCCATCAGCATGACTGGAGAGTAGCTACAGCCGCGCCCTGCTTCACCCTTCACCAGGGAGCTCTTGCTTCTGCCCCTCCTTGCAGCTGCTGTTAGAACCATGAATGGACCTGGTCCCAGGGGCACAGGCTTCTCTTGCTTCCTTTCTCTTTGTTTTTATCCAACCAGGCTGGCAGGTTCAGAATCACCTCTGCGCCTGCTCAGGGGCAGCTCAGGGTCCGGTCCCAGCCCGCGCCAGCTTCCATCGCAGTGCGGTTACTTGTAAGAGCGCACGGCCTCCTGTGGGCAGCAGGGACGTGGCGGCCAGCCTCCCGGGCACTGCGGCCCCTGCTGGCTCTCCCACTCCCAGGCGATGCCAATGCCGTCCGCATGGCCATGAGCCGGGCCGCTCGACACAGAGCGCCTTAGGCAATGCTGGTGTCACTGGGAGCACTGCTGGTCCAGGGGCTGTCAAAGGCCCAGGAGGCACCCTCATGGCGGGGCCCCGAGGGAGAACGTGAGTGAGTCTTTTCAGCAACAGGGCTGCCCCTCGACCTCGCACAGGCCTGGGTGAGCTAAGCATGCAGGAGGCCCCCAGCTCCCCAGCCCCTGGCCCGGTGCCCCAGGCCCGGCCACCAGGCCGGAGGATGCTCACCACGGCAGGGAAGGCACAGCTCCAACCCGCATCCCACCTCCAGCAGGTCCCTGGGGCACTCACCCTCCCTGCTCTGCCTTCAGAAGCCAGCTCTTCCTCTGTCTGTCCCTCTGTAAATTCAGGCAGTCAGCACTGTCAAACTGACAGTGTGTGTGGCCCCATTGCCACTGCTGCACCAGGCAGACATCACCAATCAATCACGCCACTTTCGAGTCCTTTGCATGGAACTCCCAGCAGCTGCTACCAGCTGCCTGGCTCTGGCCTACGAGAGACAATTCACCTGCCACTTCGGGAAGGGGTGGGTTCAAACGGCTTCCATTCTCACGTTGATTTGTTTTTCATGCCTTTCCTTCCCAGTGGTGCTGGGGCCAAGCCGACTTCCTCTGAGCCTGAACTTCAGCAGAAACCACAGCCGGAAACAGGAGGGCCCGCCCCTGGGGGTGCCGGGGGAGCCCCCACAAAGGCAGCAGGGTGCGCCCTGGCCTCGTGTTGTGTGTAAACTCCAAGAGGGCAGCTCCCTGTGTCGCTGGGCTGTCGAAACCCTTTCCCTCCAGGGCGTGCATGCAGAGAGCAGGCTGTTAGAATGTCTCCCCAGACCCTTAAAGTGCCCAGGTTCTGGGGAGACAGTGCCTAAAGAAACCCCAGGGACGGGTCTCCCTGTCCAGTTCTCAGATGATAAGACTGAGGCCCGATTAGGACCCGCGTCTTGGGACCTTTCCGTTTCTCGACTTTCTCCCCTGATCCACTTTTCATCTCTGGCACACCGGCTTGCTGGACTGGGCGAAAACCAGACAGCCCGACTGCTCCCTGCCCTCGGGAGGACCTCACACCACAGGTGCCACTACTACTGCCAGTAACAGCGCCTCGCTCACGGAGCACAGTGCTGGGCACTTTGCACACATCACCTTACTGAATCCGCAAGTAACCCCTGGGATCTGTGACGTGAGCACAGAGGTCCAGACAGGGCCAGTAACTGGTCCCAGGCAGCACAACTGTGAAGGCAGACAGCCTGAATTCACCCTCCATCCTGGAAGTCAAGTTCATCTGCCTCCTGTGACAAAGTCCCTTCCACCCCAGCATTGCCTCCTGAGACTGTGAGGTGGCTGAAACAGGGACTGACCTCACTTCACAAACAAGGACACCTGGCCACAGCAAAGCCCGGGACCCGACCCATGGAACAACAGCAGAGCAGAAAACTGGCCCTGGTGGCTGGCACAGGCAGTGGCCCAGGAAGACTCCCAGCATTCCCCTGGCCTGGCTGCTCCAGGCTTTCCCACCAAATCCAGGCTGCTGGCTCCCCACCATGCGCTGGGCATCTCCTGATGATGGACATGAGCGCTCCTGGGTCTACCGAGTGTTCACACACACACGAAAGGGAGCCAGGATGTGTCCATGGTGGCCAGCCCAGTCCTTGCGTAGGGACCAAATGCTAGAGGAGGGAGGCCGTGCAAGGCTCTGGAAAGGCTCCTTGTGTTACCCAGGATGGGGGCACAGCACGCATGCACCTGTTACACGTCCCCTTCTCCCCATTCTGCCCCCTGGGAGGGTGGCCACTTCTGGCCTCCTTAAGATTGGCCGGGCCCTGTGACTAGCTCTGGCCAGTTACCGAGCGTGGATGCCAAACTCTGTTCCTGTAGCATGACCTAGCCCCGGCCTGATGGTTCACTCCCCTTGCTGGGTACCGTAGGGAGGCAGTGGGGAGCAGGAGACCAATCAGGCAGATCCTGGGCTCCCGATCCCCTGGCAGGCACAGGTAGCGCCCCTCTAATCTAAAGTGACAGTGGGGACATGGCCAAGCGAGGGGCAGGGCAGGAACAGACTGCTCTGACCACAGGAGAGTCAGGAAGGCTCCCAGGAGGAGGTGACACTGCTATTGGCCTTGAAGGATGGGACAGATTTGGACAAAAGCATTCCTGTGAGAGGAAACAGTGTGAACAAAATACAGGGGTTGCAGACTGCACCAGAGTGAAGGGTCCACGGTGATCAGAAGAAAGGGGGTCAGAAGGCTCGGGTCACGGAAGGTCCTGGTGGCAGACCCTGCCCCTAGAGGGTGTCCCGAAGCTTGCAAGGTGGGGAGGGACATGGTCAGTGTTTTGTTTTGGCCATGGTGTACCGGCAGTGAGAGCAGGGGGCAGATACCAGTGGGCAGGAGTTGCAGAAACATGGCTGTGAGCAGGACGCTGCTGTCATGCGGGTGGGGCTGATGACAGCTCTCGATCGCCAGGGGATGACAGCACAGGCCGATTCCCAGAGGCCAGGAAGAGAAGGCAATGGGGCTGGACCCTAAATCTGCAGGGACAGACACGGGGAGCCTCCCCCGGAGGGCCTGCCTGCCGCACACAGCACGTGTGCCAGGACGAGGGAGGTGCTCGCAAGTCAGGAGCAGGCGAGCCTGAGCTGGCCCCGGAGGGGCGGCACAAAGCAGGGAGGTGGCAACCCCTCCAGAGGGCACAGATTCAATCGTGAGCCACAGGCAGCCCAGGCGGGGGGGGGGTCTCAAAAGAATGCCCATCAAAATGCTCGTTTCTGGTTTCTGGAGGGTGCAGGCACCTGGCAAGCCTGAGCCCGGATCTGCACTGGCAGTCGCACAGGCCCAGGTGCCCCACCCAGACACGGCCCCAGCACCCGTGCCGTCGGTTCATCTCGACAGATGCTCCATACACACACTCCTGGTCCTGGGGGCGCTGGAGTCTGTTGTGTGGGGGCATCCCAGGCTCACGCCAAAACCCAAGGAGAGAAATCTCTAAGAAGTTGCTGTCCACAGAGGCTGAGCCATAGGAAGGCGCCAGTCCCTGGTCCCATCCTGGCCGGGCATTTTTTCTGAGCGGGACCTACATTGGGAGCTGTCCCAGTAGCTCCCTGAGCCAGGGAGGGAGAAAAGCCGGGTAGATGGGCATTGGGACACCCAGCCCTATGGACTGTGCTAATCCAACTGGAGCCCCGGGAGCCCCAGGCGTTAGGGATGCACTGGGCCTGCAGAAGCCTCCAGGCACCTGTCTTCAACAAGGCTTTGACGGATGGGTAGGGTTTCGCCACATCAGGCAGAAAGAGGAGCCCTGCAGACGAGAACTGGAGAAGCGGAGCCAAGTCCTAGCTCTTTCCCCGAGAGCAGAGGGGAGCCACTGAAGGTTCTCTCCCCAGGACCCGGGCCCCGCGGGTCGGTCACGCACGGCCACTCACCCAGGGTCTGCTGGTTGCGGACGCCGCCGATGACCACGCAGATCTCGGCGGGCATGTCGCCAGTGCCGTCCTTGCTGACTGCCTTCTTCTCCTCCTTGGCCTCGCCCTGCCAGATCACCTCCTGGATGTAGTCGTCGGGCAGCTCCGTCTTCACCTTCACCTCCGTCATCGTTCCCTGCTCGGCGCTGAGCGAGGCCTCGGCCGCCGCGGGCTCGGGGCCCTCCACCTTGCTGCTCTTCTGACTGCGCTTCAAGCGCTCCCTGGGGAAGAAGAGACTCTGCTCAGGGTGGACCCCGACCTGGGAGCCTACCAGCTCCCCGGCCCACAGACACGTGCTAGGCTGGGTACGGTGAGCAGCAGCCCCCAAGCCCACCTGCTCAGCTTCCCTTGCTAAAAAGAATCCTGGGCAGTTTGCAAACCACTGGGTTAGCACAGCTGCAACCCGGCTCCTATAGAGGGAGAGGCTGAGGTCTCAGGAGGCACCCATGGGCCCAGCCCCTGCACCTGCTGCTCATTCATCCTCATCTCAACTGCAGGGGCCAGAAACCTTTGCAAAAGGCTACCTCCATGTGCAACTTCCATGTGCAAATAAAATTGGCTGGGGACGGGCCAGATGGCGGCACGGTGGGTTAAACCAGCTTGTGCCGCTGGTCTCCCTTCTCAGGGCACGGGTTGGAGTGCCGGCTGCTTGGCTTCCGATACAGCTCCCTGCTAATGCGCCTGGGAAGGCAGCGGAAGAAGGTCAAGTGCTTGGGCCCCTGTAACCACGTGGGAGGCCTAGTTGGTGATGCAGGTTCCTGGCATCACTCTGGCCCAGCCCCGGCCATTCGGGGAGTGAATTAGCACATGGGTAAGATATCTCTCGGTCACTCTGCCTTTCAAATAAATAAATTTTTTTAAAAAAACCAAACTGGCTGGGCTCTTGCAAATAAGCAGATTCGGGGTCACTCAGCTGGTGGGGGTGGGGCCCGAGATGCTGCAAGTCCCCAGGGAAGGCTAATGCCGCTGGTTTCCCTTCCCACTATGAGCAGCAAGGGCGCCAAGTAGCTCGTGCTGCTCCCTTAGTTCCTTGGCAGAAGGGCTGCACAGCGCATCCAAGCTCTTCCCTGCTGCTGTTTCACAGATGGGGAAGTGAGAATCCAAAAGGCTCCCGACGGAGCCGTCACGAAGCCAGCGCTTGGACAGTGCGCAGGAGAAAACACGCCCAAGGTGACGAGGTCTTTACTGCAGGGAGCCGGGCGCACGTGCCTGAGGGGCTGAGCGCTGTGGCGCAGCAGGGGAAGCCACCACCTGTGACGCCAGCATCCTCTATCAGAGCGCCAGCTGCTCCACTTCTGATCCAGCTGCCTGCTCAGGTACTGGGAAGGCAGTGGATGATGACCCAAGCACCGGGGGCCCTGCCACCCACGTGAGAGACCCGGATGGAGTTCTGGGATCCTGGCATAGGAGGGCACAAGGGTGTGGCCCTCACCAGAACCGAACCATGCTGGCGCCTCTGGCATCAGCCACTTACTCCCTGTGCGACCTGCACCAGCCACCTCACTTCTGAGCCTCGGTTTCCCCAACGTCACGTTTGTCACACAGGTGTTGATCAACTAACACACAGAAAGCACTTAGCACAGTGCCTGGCCTACGATCACGCCATCACTGTTGGTACCAAGGACATGCTGTTAGAGTGGCTTCTGTACCCGGAGCCTAGTGACAGCGCCCCCTTGTGTGTCCGCTACATCAGGGCCGCCAGACACCATGGGAGCATCTGTCCATGTTTGCAGCAGGAAACCTCAAACCGATGACTGACAGCGGCAGAAATCACTGCCTTTGTTTATTTAAGAAACACTTTGGGCAGAAGCTTGGTCTAGGCGGTGAAGATGCCCATGTTCCTTCCCGGAGTGCCTGGGTTCAAGTTCCAGCTCTGGCTCCTGATTCCAGGTTTCTGCTAACGCAGAAATGCAGATGCTCAAGCAACTGAGTTTCTGCCACCCACACTGGAGACCTGCACTGAGTTCCAAGCTTGACTTTGGTCTGAACTGGTGCCCATATGGGATGCCATCACTGCAGGCAGCAGTTTTAACTGCTACACCACAGCGCCGGCCCTTGTCACCATTTTTTTTTTTTTTTTTTTTTGACAGGCAGAGTGGACAGTGAGAGAGAGAGACAGAGAGAAAGGTCTTCCTTTGCCGTTGGTTCACCCTCCAATGGCCGCTGCAGCCGGCGCACCGCGCTGATCCAAAGCCAGGAACCAGGTACTTATCCTGGTCTCCCATGGGGTGCAGGGCCCAAGCACTTGGGCCATCCTCCACTGCACTCCCGGGCCACAGCAGAGAGCTGGCCTGGAAGAGGGGCAATCGGGACAGAATTCGGCACCCCGACCAGGACTAGAACCCAGTGTGCTGGCACTGCAAGGCGGAGGATTAGCCTAGTGAGCCGTGGCGCCGGCCCTAGTCTGTTTCTTTAATTAGAATGTGAGCTGCCCAGGGGATGGGACTTGGTCTCCTGGCTCCCTGCTCTCGGATCAGCGGGCTGACGAGTGGCCAATGATCCCGGAGAGTCTGGGATGAGCCCAGGGGAGGTCAACACCAGCCCGGCCTGAGGCACCTGCAGCTTCTGATTCTGGGGAGTCTTCTCCACTCAATCCATCACCATCACTGTCAAGGGCCTCCCTACTCCAGTGAATATTCAGAACCCAACAGAGTCCTGTCTGGTTCACGGGGGCCTCGGCACGGTATGGGTTGTGTGAGTGAAGTGCCTCACCTTCAACCTTTCCCTCCAAGACTTCCTAAGTCCTAACACACTCTCCTTGCTTTTTGAAATGCCAACATGGGATGGGGGCACCTGGTGCCCCAGCTGATGACTTGGCCCCTGAACTTGTGCAGTTTAGTTCCCAAAGACTTAAGAAAATGGGTCTAAGAGGGAGGCGACATCTCCAATGATGGTGCTTAGAAGATATCAATCACATTAGGTCATCAGGATGGCGCTGCCACGATCCAACCCCGCTGGCTGTCAGGAGAGGCACACGCGCGCTCCCTGTCTCAGTGCCGTGCGATGCTCTGTGGCGCCTCGGGACTCTGCCAGCAGGGAGCCCACACCAAATGAGGTGACTCGACCTGCATCTCTAGAACCACGTGCCAAAAACAGCTCCTTGCTTTGGAAAGTCAGACCGCCTCTGGTGTTTTATTACAGCGACGAGAGGTTGACTGTCACTCCACCCCTGGCAATCTTCTCTCGAGGACACAGTCTTCGTGCTTAGCATCAGCATAGACTCGGGCCCTCAGCGCACAGGTGGATGTCCCCTCTAGCGTCGGGGAGCCTGTATTCTCAGCCCTGTGGTTCTGGATATGATTCCCTCTGCTTGTCCCGGGCCCCCTGCCCACACTCCCAATCTGCCCTCTGATGGGTTCCAGGGGCTTCTAGGAGGCACCCAGGAGCAAGGGCTTGCACTCACTGCTGGACCCTGGGCCTGCTGAAGGACACCCATGGAAGACAACCAGGCCCACGTACACCGGCACGCAGACTGGAGGTGATGCTGAAAGTGACGCAACAATGATGAGAACAGCACCAAGGACAAGGAGAGCGAAGACTCGCGTGGCTGCGATGTACCCAGTGCTCACGACTTGCCCGGCGCACACCGTCTCCATGCTATACACAATACCTTCTACAGGAGGCATGGGGGTTTACACAAACCAGATCAAGGGTCAGAGGCACAGAGCGACTTTCTCCTGGTCTCACAGCTTCCTGTGACAGAAGAGGGATTCCACCAGATGTGTGCGACCCCGCAGTCTGGGCTTTTACCATATGGAAATGTGTCTTCTCCCTTCTCCAGCGAACAGAGAACAATAAATACACCTGTTGAATGAGCAAATAAAGGACTGAGTGGCCAGCCAGCAGCTTGAAGAAATGGAGAAGCACTCCCTGCTCTCCTGTTGGATCCAGACAGAACTGGGCATATACTGAATGCGTAACACAACACAGTCATGAAGCCTAAGACGGGGGGCTCCGTCTCTCCCCAAAGAAGCGCTCCCTCCAATTGACCTCGAAATCTTCCTGGCGTGGCCTCAATGGCAGATGCAGTGTTCAGATGCATCCTTTGAAGTACAGCATCCTGTTTCCAGGGACAAGGACAGCGACCACAATGGGGGAACAGTCACAGCTTCCCCATGAGCTGGGGAGGCCGAGGGAGAGGGAGAAGCCAGGAGCGACACCCCTGGGCCCCGAACGTCAGGAGCAAGGCCTGTCTGCGCTTCCTGCATCTCCAGGGCTTTCAAACCCTCACTGCACCACCTGTTCCTTAATAACCCTCCAAATTCTCTGCACTTCCATTTGTGTCATGTATCCCTGAAATATTTTAATAAACAGTCAAATTGAAAAAAAAGAGATTAATAGATGAAAACTATTAACCTATTAAACAACTCTTAACAGTCTAGAAATCCAAAATAACATGCAATGCATACATATATGATTAGTTTGAGATAAACTTATAGGCACTTAGTTTTTTCTTTTCCAATGTATGGTGCCAGCCACAACGCTGCGTAACACTGCACCTCAGCGGGGGCAGAGTTAAGATGGGAACGCTGAGGGCCAATTCCTGGTTCACTGACAACTAAAGTGGGGAGGGGGAGAGCAAGAGCCTAGGGCAACCCCAACCGGCCACAAACTCCAACAGCTACGTCTCGCAGGCAGAGGCTTTCCGCCGGGAGCTGGAACCTTCTCTTGCAGGTGTCAGGGCACGTGGGAGGCTGGACTGGGTCATTAAAAAGAATTACTGTCAACAGCATTTTCAAAACACGCTACTGCCATTTTCCAATGAGTCTGGCTGTGGCGTCATTTGGGACTGGTAGAGACAGGTGCTCCCACAGCTCAGGAACTACCCCCACCCCCCAACCCAGGACGCCTCATCCAGGCAGTGTCGCCTCAACGGGCAGGTGGGAACAAGAGGGCAGCAAAGGGCCCACGCCTACTCTACCCTCCGGAGGGCAGGCAGCTGGTCCAAGGAGGGGTGAGGCCATCCCTACACTCCCATGCTAGACACATACACATGGGTAAACACTGCTCCTGTCCACCTCGCTCATTGCCTGTGCAGGCTGTGACGCACCAGCCACCCCCTTCCCTCACTGTCTGATGGCCCTGCCCTCTGGCCACTTCCTCCATCACCAGCAGCTGATGGCCCAGCCCCTGCTAAGGTCTCATTCCCCCTCCTGCCGTGGCGGCCTCCCTGCACCCTCCAGCCACCAGCCCTTAAGACTAGCAGGTGACAGACGGGGGC